AGGAAGGAAGGAAGGAAGGAAGGAAGGAAGGAAGGAAGGAAGGAAGGGAGGAAGGGAGGAAGGGAGGAAGGGAGGAAGGGAGGAAGGGAGGAAGGGAGGAAGGAAATAGAGAAATAAGGCACAGAAAAAAATAATAAAAGAAAGGAAGAAAGAAATGAGAGGGGAAAAAAAAAAAAAAAGAAACAAAACGGAGAGAAAGAAAGAACGAAAAGAAAGAAAGGAAAGAAGGAAGAGAAGGATGGGTTTCTTCGGACACGAACTCGGTCTCACTCCAGGCACGGACGCAACCCCGAGGCCGGCTGGCCGTGCAGCCGCACACCCCGCAGCCGCCACGAACAAAGGCTGCGGGTTGCTCCTGCATAGGGCCGCCAGTGCCGCTGCTCTCCCGGCCGGCCCCGGCCCCCACGGGGTGCCACCGCTCGGATAGGGGCCGCGCGGCGGATCCCGCACGGCACTCTCGGGCGCCGCGTTCACCGGCCCCCTCCCGGTCCCCCCGCTCCTCTTCCCTCAGCCCCTCCGCGCGGAGCGAAGCGAAAGCTGGAGGATGAAGAGAGCTGCGATCTTCCCGTGAGCGGCTGCGGGGTCAGAGCGAGGGAAGAGATTTTTCCCTTTCCTTTTCCAACCGAATTCCCGCAGCAGAAGCTCGTTCCCGCAGCTCTGGCTGAGTGCGGGGTAGCGCTTTTTTCGCACCCGGAGCCCTTCGCTAGGACACTCGGTGAGCTCCACGGCCCCGCGGCACCGGACAGGGCGTTGTTGGTGCCCCTGGAGTTCTCCCTTTTAAAGTGTCGTTTGATTCGCCCGAGGCACAAAAAAGCTCTAGGAAGCGCCGTTCTGGGGGAAGGCAGAGGCCGTCCCGCCCGCGCCCCGCTGCTTCGGCGCCTCTCGGACTGCAGACGGACAGGGGACGGTCGGGGACGAACGGAGCGGGAGGCGGAAAGGGAAGAGGCGCAGACCCGCAGCCCTCGCTCTCGGCGTTTTATGTCGAAAACAAATTTCTGGCACTGAAAGAGCCGTGGCGCACCGGGAAATGAGATTCGTTCTGCCCCAACGTCCCCCGCCGTAACGCAGCACTGAAGGCACCGCGCACTCCGGTGGCACCGCGCCGCGCCGCGCCGAGGATCTCTCTCCCCGCACCCGGAGAAAGGCACAGCCACGCCGACCCCGCGCTCCGCCGTTGCTCCGCCGCTCTCTCCGGCGCGAAGCACAGAGCAGCGGCTCTTTCCTCAGGGCTGACGCGCGCACGGCCCTCCGCGCTGCTGCGTTTATTTTGGTTTAATGAATGCGCATCAGAATGTTTGGCAATATCGCTCGGGAAACTTTTCCGTCTGGAGGCAGCGCCGGGAGCGCTTCTCCCTGGGGGAGTATATGTACATGTATCCTGTGTACGTATAGCCGCGAGTCACAGATCGAAGAGGATTATAAATAAATTTTAAAAAAATACAGTTTGGAGCGTGCGTGAGTATATGAGCATGAGAGGCTTCTCTGCCGTAGCAGAAATCCCAGGAAAAATAAATTAGAATCAAAACGAACCCGGGAACAAAGCGCCCGCCGCCGCCGCCCGTTATCGGCGCTCCAGTCCGCGCGGGGTTCCGCCAAGCAACACTTCCGCACCATCCCCGCACGGGGCGCGGAGCGGCATCGGGTACCCGCGCCATTCCCACTCGGCCGCAACGCGCGGTTCCGTTTGCGCCCCGCGGACTGTGGAGCTCGGAGCGCACCCGCAGCGCCCGGTGCCCGGCGCGCCATAGGAGGGGGCAGGCAGCCTACTTACTATGCATTGCTGCAAACGGGTCGTGCTTACAGTGTATTTCCATCGGGGCGGTCCGGCGGCCTCGCGGAGCGCACCTCGCGGCGGCGGCGGCGCTCAGCGCGAGCGGAGATCGTGGGCTGATGGCGCGGGAGAGAGGAGCGAGCGGCGCGACGAGTGAGCATCCAACGGCGGCACCGCCCGCTCCTTCCGCCGCCTTCGGGCGGGGCGCAGGGCGCGACCGCCGCCCCCACACCCGCGGACCGCGCGGCCCCGGCGGCGGCGGCGGCGGCTGGGGGCGGCCGTCCCGGTGCGCCCCGACGGCGCTGGGAGCTGCGGGCGGAGCGCGGAGCACCCCGCGTCCGGGGCCGCGCGAGTTGCG